AGCGTGACGGCGGGAGCTGCGCATAGCCTCGCCCTCACCGCCGGCGGCAGTGTCTGGAGCTGGGGCCCTGGAGGCCACGGCCTGGGCCACGGCGACGAGGCGATGCTGGACCAGTGGCAGCCGAAGAAGATCGAGGCCTTTGCTGACCAGCGCGTCGTCGCTGCGTCTGCTGGAGCCAGGCACAGCCTCGCCCTCACCGCCGACGCCGCCGTCTGGAGCTGGGGCGAGGGAGCCTTTGGCATGTTGGGCCACGGCGACCAGCAGAGCCAGCTGCTGCCAAAGAAGATCGAGGCCTTTGCTGACCAGCGCGTCGTCGCCGTGTCGGCGGGAAACGGCTACAGCCTCGCCATCACCGCTGACGGCGCCCTCTGGAGCTGGGGCTTGGGAGTCTACGGCCTGCTGGGCCACGGCAGTCTGCAGACCCAGCTGCTCCCCAAGAAGGTCGAGGCCTTTGCTGACCAGCGCGTCGTCGCCGTGTCGGCTGGAGATTTGCACAGCCTCGCCCTCACCGCCGACGCCGCCGTCTGGAGCTGGGGCAGTGGAGCCTACGGCAAGCTAGGCCACGGCGACCAGCAGAACCAGCTGCTGCCGAAGAAGGTCGAGGCCTTGGCTGACCAGCGCGCCATCGCTGTGTCGGCAAGAGAGCGTCACAGCCTCGCCCTCACCGCCGACGGCAGCGTCTGGAGCTGGGGCAGTGGAGCCTTCGGCCGGCTAGGCCACGGCGACGAGGAGGGCCAGCTGCTGCCGAAGAAGGTCGAGGCCTTTGCTGACCAGTGCGTATTCGCTGTGGCGGCGGGAGGACATAGCCTCGCCCTCACCGCCGACGGAGCCGTCTTTACTTGGGGCAAGGGCGAGAGCGGCTGCCTAGGCCACGGAGAGGAGCTGTCCAACCAGCTGCTGCCCAAGAAGGTCGAGGCGTGGGCGCCGGGGCAGTGATGAGAAGCGCGAAAGTGCACGTGCCTATTCTTCACGTTGCGAACGTTTCCGAGAGTGGGGAGAGGCGAATCCGGGACGGTAGAGGTTTGAAAACGGACAGCGCAAGGGAGGGATGGGAGGTCTTTGGACGAGGTTTTACGGCTTTTTTTGAGAGCGCCTTCGTTGTTAATAGTACAGAAAGAAAGAAAGAAAGAAAACAGACACGCCAAACGAGGGATGGGACGAGGACAAGGTCCCCACCTGCACGAGCAGGATTTTGGAAGGACGATCAGGGGGACAGGTGGGGCTCTCCTGCTCCTGACAAGGGACACGACAGGCTCGCAGCGCGGTGCGCGGTGGACTCCCACATCCACTGGCGGTCTCATCTCAGTCTAGCAACCCAATGGTCCCTGGCATCCAGGGCTTTTTTTGCCCAACCCTCCACAACCGATGTCCGGGGCCAAATTACACTCTGTCGTCCTGCTCCTCGCCGCCTCCGCCTCCGCCGCCGCCGCCGCCGCCGCCACCGCCACCCCCTCCTTGTCGTCCCTCGCGCCGCTCGTCCGGCCGCCGCTCCGGCCGCCGCTCCGGCCGCCTCGCGCCGGGCTCCGCCTCCTCTCGGGTGCCTCCAAGGCTCCACACGGCGTCGCGCTCGCCGCGGCGGCGGCAGCCATTCTCTCGCAGCAGCACGCCGCCCGCGCCTCCGAGTACATGACCGCCGACGACGCGCTCGCCAGGACGCAGCAACGGCAGCGGGCGCCGCGGCCGGCCAACGCGCCCACCGCCGAGCGCGCGAGGGCGGCCGAGCTGGCGGCCGAGCTGGCGGCCGAGCAAAAGGCGGCCGCGGCCAACGAGCGGGCCATCGCGCAGGCCGCCAAGCGCGCCTCGGCCGAGCAGGCCAAGGCGTCGCGGCGTGATGCCGCAGACGCAAAAGCCGCAGACGTGCTGGCGCGCAAGGAGGCGGAGAGGGCGGCGGTGGAGAGGGCGGCGGCGGAGGAGGCGGCGGCGGCGGAGCGGGCGGCGGCAGAGGAGAGGGCGGCGGCGGCCAAGGAGGCGGCGGCGGCGCAGCGGGTGAGGGAAAGGGCGGCGCAGCGGCCGGCGGCCGGCGTGGTCGCCGCCTCGGTCGCCTTGGTCGGCGCCGGCTGCGTGGCTGCTGCGTCGGCCGGCGAAGGGGTCTCCGAGGCGGCGTGTCTGGCTGATTACGAGAAGAGGAGTGTGAGCGTTTTCTCTCAGAGCGGGTCGGCGGTCGGAGGGGGGGCGATCGCCGTCGCTCTCGCCGTCGCCCTCGCCGGCGGCGGCCTCGCGCGGCTCCCGGCCGTCACGGCCGAGGGCGGCGGCGTGGCGGCCGAGGGCGGCGGCGTGGCGGCGGTCAGGGCGCCGCGCGCGCAGCCAGGTGCGGAGGCCGCTCGGGTCGCTCCGCCGGCGGCGGGGGAGACGCGGGCGGCGGCCTCGACGTCGGTCGCCCCGGGCGGTGCGGCGGCGAGGCCGTCGCCGCCGACCGCATCGCCGCCGCCGACCGCATCGCCGCCGCCGGGCGGCTCAAAGGGCGCGGCTGGAGAGGGGCGCGGCCAGCCGGCGGCGGGGGTGCTGGCGGCCCTGGCTGTGGCGGGCGGCGGCGGCTACCTGTACAACCGGCGGCGCGACGGCGAGGACGAGGTGGGCGCCGCCGAGCCAAAGGACGCCGCCCTCGAGGCGGCGGCCGCAAAGCTGCTGCAAGAGGCGGAGGCGGTGGTGGCGGTGGACGCGGCGGCGGCAGAGGAGAAGGCGCTGGCGGCGGCGCGTC